CCTCCCCTCCCCCTCTCACCACTCTGGATTTGCCTCTACCAGCACGCCTCCTTCTTACCAGCACATGACTGAATACATGTTTGTGCACACCCAGGATTGGCCCCACACCCTCGAGTCCTGTTTTTCCTCAGGGCACTTCACATGTCACCCAGTACTTCAATGAGTAAGCTTCCCTCAGGGATGAGTCTGTTTAGCTTTATACCTGTTAGTCATGTTTTGCACACCAGTTGTTTTTTTTTTCTCCTGTCTCTTGACATGTCCCTTTTTCTTTCCAAAGTTGAAACTGCTGGAGTTAATACAATCAGTAGCCAACCTCAATCTGAGACAGAGGAGAACTGAAATACTTTACATCATTTTGATCCAGCCACGTCCATGATGCCCACCCTGTGAAGGTCTTTTCACCATCCAAAAAGTAAGTGGTGGCTTTGAAACCTGCTACTCTGGATCTGGGTTGAGTGGAAAGGGATGTGCCCTGTTTGGCATCCAGTGGCAAGTCTCTTGGATGGGGTCATCTTTGTGCAGAGCTGGAGTTTTCCAACCTGTCTTGGAAAACTGTCTCCTTTCTGTTTCTGTGGAGGATTTCACTGCTTGCTGAGAGAGCCTGTTTGAACACACCATGGAATTGAGAATTAAATAAGACATTTTATAGCATCTGGACAGTTCAGAAAGTAGCTGGGCTCTCTGAACTCTCTGAAGAATTAGTCTTCCTTGTTTTCTGCTGTGCTGACTCCACCCTCCCGCTCTCTGCCCGGCGGAGATTGGTTCCTTATCATGGCTCTTCTAAGAGTCAGCTCTGCCCCCTTTATCCTGTATACTCTTGTTTCAATTTCTCAGCTTCTCCTCTGTTCCAGTTGTGCCAGCAGACGATCCGTGGATCCATTTTATTTTCCCTGCTAGGAGTTGCTGTACATAAATCTGGGTAAGGAGGTGGTGTGGATCCAGGGACTGTGCTTGGGATCCAGACATATCTTGCAGTGAATTTTGCTACTGCTCTCCCTACACCCAAGACACCTAATACTTCTCTACTAATAGCCTAAGTTGAGGCAAAGTTTTGATTACCTTGGAGTGCTAATAGTTTCAGTTTAGAATTGGGTTTGATTCTGGTCTTAGGTTAATATTAGTAACAATCTTTTATTATTATTGATTTGAGAGAGAAGGAGGGAGGGGAGAGAGAGAGAAAAACATTGATGTGAGAGGGAAACATCAATCGGTTTCCCTAACTGGCAGTTGAACCCTTGACCTTTTGGTGTACGGGACAATGCTTCAACAAACTTAGCCACCTGGTCAGGGCAACAACAGTCTTTTAATATTGTTCCCCTAGTAGTTCTTTGGGGTGGGAGTGTGAGACTACTAGGATTCATGAGGCTTTTCCCAAAGTGTGATCCTCAGGATTTTAAAAACTGTTACATAAAAGAAGGTTTCTTCAAATAAATTTGTGAAAGGCTGCATTAAGTATGGTTAAACTAGTCTTTACAAAAGCCCTTGCTTCCCAAAGTCTTTGCTGTGCTCATGTGCTCCAGTGGAGGGGGTCTGAAGCATATAGTGCTGTACAGATTGATTCTACATGGAACATTGGGTGCACTAGAGTGCTGTGGACCACTGTTGGGAAATGCTTTCATAACCTGTCTGAAACTATGACCTCAAAATTACTTCGCAGCAGTCACAGCATCTGTAAGCACAGTGTATAGCTGATATTGGAGCTGGACTCCGGCCCAGCTGTACCCCACATGCTTGCGGTGAGCCCTGTGGTAAAGTGAGGACTAACTATCAGGGCTTTCCAGAGGAACAGGAACCCAGTCGCCTCCCACCACTCTGGCAGGGTAGAAAGCCAGCAGGCAAAGCCCTAAGATAGTGGGGGCCCTATCCTGGCTTGTGAGCATATGCTTTGCAACTTTGGTTCGTTTGTGCACTTATGCATGTCCAGCTTGCTCTTCGGAAGGATTAAATCCTAGAATCTGAAAGGATTGTTCAACTCGTGACTCACTGAGCTCCAAGTACTAAGAAACATATGCTTAGTCAAAAGCTGCTTTTAGGAAAAAAGTAGATTTGGGTGTTCCAGGGATGGATGGGTAAGAAGGTACTGCCCATAAGGGCATTCACTCACTCTAACCATGTTTCTCACAGTTGTGGAGGAGGGAAGTAGAAATGGACATAGATCACTGCTCTGTGTCAGACACTAGCTTTCTAGGAGCTCACAGACTAGACAGGGAGATAGAGAGGTAAAAAACTAAAACATCTGGTAAGGTTGTATGTCCTCCATGGAGACATCAGGGAAGGCTTCATGGAGGGGGTGACACTAGAGTTGGGTCTAGAAGGACAGTAGGAGTCAAATGAGTAAAAAGGAAACAGGACTCCAGGTTGAAAGTAGCAAGTGCAATACAAACATGGAATCTCAGCTTGAGAATTAACATAGCCAGAGAAATGAGAGTTTGGAGGGGTTGGAGGTTCCACATGAGAGGTTCCACGTGTGTGATGTGGGGCATGGACAAGTTGGGGAATGGTGAGAGCAGGTCAGCTCCTGGACAAGCTGGAATCCCATAGACCTTTTAACATGCAATCACTAAACTTTTACTAGCATGTATGCCTTTGAATCTTGCACTTACTGAACACTAACACCTTTGGTTTCATATCCTTTGGACTTGCAAACAATGACCAGAACTTGAAAGCACTTGCCTCTAAAAGCCCAGCTGATCTCAGGGAACTTGCTGCCTGCAAGCTAGTACCTTCTTGGCTGAGCAGACCTGTTTACTCATCCTCATGGCAGCAGGTGGGGGAGCTGTGGGTATGTGGCGGGGTTGCATCTGCCCTTTCCTGAAGGCTGGGTGTTGTGATCTTGCTGGTGGAGTTTGTTGTTGCTGCCGTATAACATGGTGAAGCTAACTTGAGCTCGTTCTATGCCATTCCTACTATGTCATTCCTACTCTTCTTAGTCTGTGGGTATCACACCTGTTATACACGTGAGGAATCCAAGGCTCTGAGGTTAAATAGCCTGCTCAAGTTTATATATCCCAGAAGTAGACAAGCACGACTTGCACCCAGCTGTGTCATTCTGGAATCTATTGTCTGCAACACATCAGGCCCCACCTCAGATCCCTTTTCTTCTCCCTCCAGTGGTTTTCCTCTTGCTTGCGTCCATTCCTGTCTAACAGTCATAACTGCTGGGCACAGCAGCCTGATTTCAGTGCTCTCTCCTTTTCTGTGTTAAAGGAGCTAGTGGTATTTTCTTCCCAATGTCCCTTCTCAGAGCTCTGCTGGCTCTCTTATTTAAGCCCTTAACATGTGGCCTCCATGCTAAGAAAACCTCTCCCGCAGTTGTGGCGTTTTACTGAGTAGGAAGGTAGAGATGGACATACAGTCACTTTTATCTCCCCAGGAATCATTAACAGTGCAAAATAATTGGTGTCTCTAGGCAGAACATGTGGTGGGTTCCCATTTCCCTGTGGGTCTGTTTTCCTGCCCAGTCTTTGGGATGGTTAGTTCCTAAGAGCCAGTTTTCAGTTATTATGCTAACTATACTTTCTCTAGATATGCTTTCTGCTCATGAACTTACTCAACACCCTTTGGAAGTTTCTCATATATGCTTACTCATGAGCAACGCCTCTCCCAGATAGAGCAAATGCTTGGTCGGGGAGAGAGCTGATGGTGCTGTGATTAGGGCTGCTGGAGAGGGAGTGGTGGACAGGAATTTGCTGGGTTTGGGGGAGGGTAGAGCCAGGCACACCCACACGGCTGTGCACACTGAGTCATCCTTGGAGGGGCCTTTTTCCTTTGACTCCCCAGGATGGAGGGCTCTGCTGGTGGAGTAGCTCTTGTGTAGTGGGATCTCTGAGGAGCAGTCTACTTCGGGGACCAGAGATTCCCAACCACATCTGGATGGCACCTTCTCTGGTTTGTCTGCCTGCTTTACTTTAGCCAAAGATCTCTAGGACTTTGGAGTGAGGTCTCGTGACCCCTAACATGTTACTGCTATCTGAAAAAAATAGGCTGGGAAGATGTGTGTGATTGAGTGAGAGCAAAAGAGCCACCTACACAGAAACAGGCTGTGTTGATAAATGTTAACTGCTTATCACAGGGTGGTGGTGTCCACCTAAGAACTTCCAAATCTATAGAAACATTTTTTTACAAGAGTTTATTAGAGCCAAACAAGGACATGTCCGCAAGCAAGACTGAGAAAATGCTGTGGACAGTGGCTGTTTTGCTGCTGTTTTTATGCATTTGGAATCAAGGGGGGAACATAAGGATGATTATGTGACATCCACTGATGGTACACTAAGGTGGGGAGAGCAAAGCCAGGAAACCTCTGATTGGATAGAAAGTAAAATGGAGAGATCATACTTCTTTGACATGGGTGGGTACAGAGTAGTTAACATTTAACATGTACAGTAAATAGAGATGGTATAGGGACAAGATATGTGCTCCTGTGAGGGTGGTGATGCCTCTGAGGGGTCTGAGAAAGGGGATCACTCTGGCATTTCACAGGTTTAACCCAGGTGCCCCAGAACAGAAGGTTATGGCAGAGATTTACCTTTCACTGAGGCATTAGAGGCCTGAGGTGTGACTGCCCTCCATGACCTGCCCAGCTAGACATTCATCACATCCTGTGAGGCCGTTTTCGGCCACTGAGCTTGTCCGAGTCACTACATAGCCCCTCGTTCGTGCGCAGTGGGCTTACTGTTTTTTTTACCTTTTAGTTCCCACGTTTCCTGTTGTGCACGTGTTGATAATGAGGGAGACCGAGAAATGGTTTTAAGTAAATTATAGACCTCTCCCTTGAGGAGCATCCTTCCTTATGCCCACCCCAAACCCAAAATCTGTTAGAAATTAGGGCTGTCGGGACCCGGACAGTGAGTGGCCGGGGGAGGGTGGTGGGAGTCACTGATCCCGAGCATCACTTGCTCTCACTGCTCTCCCTATTCAGCGCTGTTTCTCAGGTAGGCGATGTGTAGGAAATAAGTGAGATTTCTGCCACGCTTTCCGGCCTAAGACCCAGAGAAGGGCTTCTCTGTGTGTCACCTCTCGATTCCTCCCCGTCTCTCTGAGGTGGGGAAGGCAGGGCCTGTCACTGTTCAACAGGCAAGGAATGGCTAGTGCTAGGCCTGAACTCGGGGCCTGACTCCGGGGTGTGAGTGCCCACACTGTGTGACAGGGAGAGTCGCCCTAGTGTCCTGAGACGTCCTTGCCTACTCGAGATGTGGCTTGTACTTCCCCCACCCTGCTCTGGTCCTAGAGGGCCTGTGTTCTCCATGGACCCTGGGGCTGGTCCTAGTCCCCCACTGCACCCTGCCTTATCCCCGGCAGAACGCCCAAGCTGGGTGTTCCTGGGTTCGCTCATGCTGTCTTCTCTTACAGCGCGATGTCCCTGTTCTTCCCTCGATGCAACTCCGTTGTCACAATCAAGAAGGATAAGAGACACATGGCTGAGGTGAATGCTTCCCCACTCAAGCACTTTGTCACTGCCAAGAAGAAGATCAATGGCATTTTTGAGCAGCTAGGGGCCTACATTCAAGAAAGCGCCACCTTCCTTGAAGGTGAGTTGGGCAACTTGCTGAGCCAGACCTGCTTCTGTCAGTTTTGATATTTAGGTGGCAGGATTTGGGGGTGTGTGGGAACAGGCTTGGTCTTGGGGAGCTCATACCCAGATGGGTTGTCACCTTCAGCAGTGCTCTGCTTGGAATCACGTGGAGCTGGGCTCCAGGGAGATTGACCAGGAAAATGGGGACTGTCATTTAAGAATTCTGTGTGTACTGCTTCATTTAATCACGAGGGGTGGGTGAATCTTATCCCCACCTAAAGCACAAACAGATGGAGGTTTGAGAGTGTGCGATACTCTGTAAGTGACGCACGGGAACTTTACCCCAGGCGTCTCTGACTCCAAAGTCCAGGTGTTTTCCTTGGCCCAGTTCTGGCTGCCATTAATACTGGGTTGGTTCTGGGTGTTGTTTGTTTCTGACCAGGGTGTTCTCTCTGATATTTTTAGATAGTAGGACTATGAATAGGAAACTTACATCACTAGCACCGTTTCCATTAGTTACTAATTTGAGCCCAACCTGTGGTCCCTGTTCTATCAGCAGAGAAGGACTGGTTCCCAGGGTCCCGCTCAGTCTGAGCGCCATCTCCAGCTGCTCACTTTCTCAGGCTCCCTCTTGAAGGCACACCTGGATCCAGGTCCTGGGCTGTCAGTGAAGACCTGGTTGCTGAGCCTTATCTGCCCTTGGTCTCCTCATTTATGAAAGCAGGGCTCAGGCGAGACCAGGGGTTTACAAGTTCTAGTCTGTGGCACCCTACAAGTTCAGTGGAAATGTCACAGGGATACGCTTCTCTCCACTGTTTTCCACTAGAGTGGCTTGGCTTCTGCCTGGTTTACATGTCAGGCTGCTACTTAAAAGAAAGGAAATATGTCCAGTGCTGTGTTCTGAATGTTTGAGTCCCCCCAAATTCACATGTTGGAATCCTAAGGCCCATGTAATGGTGTTAGGAGGTGGGGGCCTTTGGGAGGTGATTAGGTCATGGCAGTGGAGCCCTCATGAATGAGGTTTGTGCTCTTACAAAGGACCCCACAAAGCTCTCCAGACCCCTGCCACCAGGTAAGGACACAGGAGAAGTCTGCAAACTGGAAGAGGGCCCTCACCCAACCAGCTGGCACCCTGATCTGAGACTTCCAGCCACCAGAAATGAGCAGTACATTTCTGTTGTGTGTAAGCCCCCCAGTCTGGTACTGTTATAGCAGCCCGAACAGACTGAGACTAAAAGTGGGCTGTTGTCTCTGCCCTGCCCCCAGCATGTGCTTGATGCAGGAGAAAGTAATTCCTATATATTTGTTCAGTTTAAAAATCTGAACTTTAAAGTTATAAGGTTGGTTGTCGAAATTATTCCAGTTCATTCCATGCTGCTTTAGCAGTAGCTCTGCTGTGCCTGGCAGTGGGCTTGTAGGGATGGGGCAGACCAGGCCATTGTCTTCCCAGAGCACAGACTGACCCTCTGAGTCACTTACTCAGATGGCGCTGTGGACAAGCACTTGCTTATGAAGGTTTTTATGTGATGGCATTAGGAATGGTATTTTGATTTCTCTTTTTTGTGAAGATATGAGGCCTCTCCTGTTGGTAGACTGAAAAGGAAAGAGCTGGAGTGATCCTGAGGTGGGTTTGGGATTGCCCTGGCTAGGGGAGGGGATAGTTACTGCATTAGGACTGAGAGTTTATTGACTTACTGCCTGTTTCTTATAATGTAGCCATACGCATTAGAGCCAGCTTCTTCTGAGGTACGTGCCAAAGGCGAGCCCGTGTGCCCATGTAAGGGAGAAATGTTCTAGGTAACTCACTGGGCAGTCTCTGAAATGCCAGTTGTGCTCAGATGCTGTGGGAGTGTTCTCAGGCCTGGGGCCTGCCAGCCCAGTGGTTCACAGGTGTCTCAGTCTGTTTGGGCTGCTGTAATAGAAATACCATAGACTGAGTGGCTTATGAATGACAAGCATTTACTTCTCACAAAAATCTGGAGGCTGGGAAGTCCAAGGTCAAGGCATCAGCCGACTCAGTGTCTGGAGAGGGCCAGCTCTCTAGACTACTGTCTTTTCTCTGAAATCTTACATGTAACCACATGGCAGAAGGGGCTGGCTAGCTCTCAGGGGTCTCTTTAATAAGGGCTCTAAGCCCGATTGTGAGGGCTTCACCGTCATGACCTCCCGAAGGCCCCACCTCCATATGCCGTCATACCACATACATCACATGGGGGCATGAGCATTTAGTCCATCTCAGCGTGTGCTGAGGAGCCAGACTCTGGTCTACTCTCTGGCCTGCTGATACATCTTCCTGTTGCCAGCGTAAGGTGGGGTGGGGCAGGATCGTGCTCGGTCGCTCCATCTGTCATAATCTGTTCTCTGTCTGCCATTGGGAAAAGACAGTGCAGTGATCCCTGGGCTCCTTCATTTAGCAAATATCGTGCATCTGCTGAGCACTGGGTGCTGGGATCAGACAGTTTGGCCCTCATGTGGTAGACAGGTAAGCTAGACAGTTGTACTTCGGTGAAATAAGTGCTGAGATGGGAGAAGTACAGGGTGCTTTGGGAGCACAGAAAGGGGACATGACTTGGGTTGTGGGTGTCAGGGAAGGCTTCCTGGGGGCTGTGCAGTTCGAGTTAGAACTGGAGCTAAGTGGGAATGAGCCAGAGGGCCCCAAGGCAGTGTATTCATTCTTCAGAGTGTAGGTCAGGGACAGCACTGAGTAAGGAGGCTGCATGGTGAGTGTGGGGACATGGAGAGGTGGAATGTGAGGCAGCGGGATGGCAAGAGACCCAGCAGGGGCAGAGGCAGTGCCCAATCAGAAAGGGCCTTGGGAAGGTACACAGGGTGACTAAGAGCCAGGACTTCGGAACCAGGCTGCTCAGTCCCTTTCCTGGCTCTGCCATTCACTAACTCTGAGATTGGTAAATGACACTGTGTTTGAAAAGTGATCAGAACAGCCCAGCCGGGCATGGCTCAGCGGTTGAGCATCGACCTGGGATCCAGGCGATCGCGGTTCGATTCCCGGTCAGGACACATGCCCAGGTTGCGGGCTTGATCCCCAGCAGGGAGCATGCAGGAGGCAGCTGATAATGACTTTCTCATCATTGATGTTTCTATCTCTCTCTCTCTCCGTCTCCTTTCCTCTCTCTGAAATCAATAAAGATATATTTAAAAAAAAAAAAAAGTGATCAGAACAATGCCTGGCATGTAGTGAGAACTTTGTAAGTATTTCTTTTTTTAAAATATATCTTTATTGATTTCAGAGAGAGGAAAGGAGAGGGAGAGAGAGATAGAAACATCAATGATGAAAGTCATTCTCAGCTGCCTCCTGCATGCTTCCTGCCAGGGATCAAGCCCGCAACCTGGGCATGTGTCCTGACCGGGAATCGAACCGCGATCGCCTGGATCCCAGGTCGATGCTCAACCGCTGAGCCACGCCCGGCCAGGCTGTAAGTATTTCTTAAGTAATAAACATAAAAGTAAATGATGGCAGTTAATATTTGAATATTCACTAGCCACCATTTTTAGCACCTTTTATGTTTTAATTCATTTGATTCTTGCAATAGTCACATGAGGTAGGTACTGTTTTCTCCATTTTAAGGGTGAGGAAACTAAGACCCAGAAAGGTTCATTTGCCTGTGGTCACAGAGCTAGGAAGTGGTGAGCCCAGCACCTCCTTGCCTGCACTGGAACCAGGTAGTCCTGCTCCTGGGAGCCATGTGCATAACTGCTGTACTGTGGCCTCACAGTAGGGAATCTGGACTTTCAGCCCAGCACCGGCAGGTAGCCGCGGTGGTGGGCTCTGTCCCTTCCAGATTGTGGCAGTGGAACTCCTTAGACCAGGTGTTGATTCATTTTCAATCTCCACCTCCAGACACCTACAGGAATGCAGAACTGGACCCTGTTACGACAGAAGAGCAGGTTCTGGACGTCAAAGGTTACTTGTCCAAAGTGAGAGGCATCAGCGAGGTGCTGGCCCGGCGACACATGAAAGTGGCTTTTTTTGGCCGGTGAGTCCTTGAAGCCCTCACACCATTTTTCTTCTCTGCTGGGACGGAGGGGTGAAGGGAGGGAGACACCTTGTGCAGGACCACAGTCTGAGTAACCCAAGGTGTTCTTCTTATTTTTAAAGTTTTACTCATAGTAAAATACACATAACATAAAATGTACCATTGTAATTATTAAGTGTATGGTTCAGCAGCGTGGAATACATGTACCTTGTCGTGCAGCCGTCACCACCTCCATCTCTAGAGCTTCTTGCAAAATTAAAACTGTGCCCATTGATGAACAGCTCCCCATTCCACCACCGTTTACTTGCTGTCTCTGTGAATTTGTCCGGGAACCTCATATTAGTGGAATCATACAGTATTCATCTTTTTGTGACTGGCTTATTTCCCTTAGCATAATGTCCTCCAGGTTCATACATGTTGTAGCTGTGTCAGAATTTTCTTCCTTTTTTTTTTTTTTTTTTTAAACATTTCTTTATTGATTTCAGAGAGAGGAAAGGAGAGGGAGAGATAGAAACATCAATGATGAGTCATTGATTGGCGGCCTNNATAGGTCAATGCTCAGCCACTGAGCCACGCCCGACCGGGCAGAATTTTCTTCCTTTTTAAGGAATAATATGTTCCAGTGTATGGATGGACCACATTTTGTTTATCTATTTATCCATGATGGACACTTGGGTTGCTCCCACTTTTTGGCTATTGTGAGTAGTGTTGCTATGAACATGGGTGGATACATACCTGTTCAAGATCCTGCTTTCAATTCTTTTGGAATTCTTTCAATTCAGCAGTGGAATTCTTGGATCATATGGTAATTCTATTTTTAACTTTTGAGAAACCACCATATTTTCCACAGCAACTGCACCATTTTACATTCCCACCAGCAGTGCACAAGTGTTTCAGTTTCTCCACATCCTCTCAACACTTGTTTTCTGTTGTTTTTAATTTTTTAATTTTTATTTTTTTAAAAATATATCTTTATTGACTTCAGAGAGAGGAAAGGAGAGGGAGAGAGAGATAGAAACATCAATGATGAGAGAGTCATTGATCNTCTTTATTGACTTCAGAGAGAGGAAAGGAGAGGGAGAGAGAGAAACATCAATGATGAGAGAGTCATTGATCAGCTAGTCCGCAACTCGGGCATGTGCCCTGACCGGGAATCGAACCCTGGATCCTAGGTCGACGCTCAACCGCTGACCCACGCCCGGCCGGGCTCTGTTGTTTTTTAAAAATGTGTTTTTAGCCTGGCCGGGCGTGGCTCAGCGGTTGAACAGTGACCTAGGATCCAGGCGATCGGGGTTCAATTCCCGGTCAGGGCACATGCCCAGGTTGCGGACTCCATCCCCAGTTGGGGGCGTGCAGGAGGCAGCCGATAAATGATGATTCTCTCAGCACCAATGTTTCTATCTCTCCCTCTCCCTTCCTCTCTCTGAAATCAATAAAGATATTTTAAAAATATATATATACACACATATACATATACATGTGTGTATATATATGTCTTTATTTTTTTATTTTATTTACTTTTTAAAATATATTTTTATTGATTTCAGAGAGAGGGAAAGAGAAGGAGAGAGAGAGATAGAAACATCAGTGATGAGAGGGTCATTGATCGGCTGCCTCCTGCACGCCTCCGACTGGGGATCGAGCCCACAACCTGAGCATGTGCCCTGATCGGGAATTGAACCCTGATCGTCTGGATCCTAGGTCAGTGCTCAACTGCTGAGTCACACCCGGCTGGGCTATATATGTCTTTATTGATATCAGAGAAAAGAGAGGAAAGGGGAAAGAGAGAGATAGAAACATCAGTGATGAGAGAGTCATTGGTTGGCTGCCTCCTGCACACCCTTGACTAGGAATCGAGCCCCAAACCCGAGCATGTGCCCTGACCGGGAATGGAACCGTGAATGGAACCATGAATTGAACCGTGACCTCCAGGTTCATGGTCCGGTTCTCAGCCACTGAGCCACATTGGCCATCCTGACTGGTGTGAGGTGGTATCTCATTGTGGTTTTGATTTGCTTTTTTCCCTGATGATTAGTGATGTTGAACATCTTTTCATGTGCTTGTTGGTTATCTCTGTGTCTTTGGAGAAATGTTTGTTTAAGTCCTTTGCACTTTTTTTTAAAAAATATGTCTTTATTGATTTCAGAGAGAGGAAGGGAGAAGGAGAGAGATAGAAACATCAATGATGACAGAGTCATTGATTGGCTGCCTCCTGCACACCCCCTACTGTGGATCAATCCTGCAGCCCAGGCATGTGCCCTGACCGGAAATCGAACCACGATCTCAACCTCTGAGCCACACCCAGCTGGGCTGCACATTTTTTAAAATTGATTTTAGAGAGAGAGAGAAACATCAATGTGAGAGAGAAACATTGATTGGTTGCCTCCTGCACCTACTTCAATGGACTGAACCTGCATGTGCTCTGGGCGGGAATCGAATTGGCGACCTTTTGGTGCATAGATGACGCTCAACCAGCAGCCACACCTGCCAGGGCCCTTGGCCTTTTTCTTTTAACCCTTACCCGAGGATATTTTTTTTCCATGGCTTTTTCAGAAAGAGTGGAACGGAGAGAGAGAGAGTAACATCGAGGTGAGAGAGACACATCAATTGGTTGCCTACTGCACGCTCCTGGACCGGGGCCGGGAATCAAGCCTGAAACTGAGGTTGAGGTACATGTCCCTGGCCAGAATCAAAGCTGGGACCCTTCAATGCTCAGGTTGACGCTCTGTCCACTGAGCCAAACCAGCTAGGGCTGCTCATTTTTAAGTTGGGTATTTGATGTTGAGTTGTAGTTTATTTTTCTTCTTAATCCTCACTTGATATTTTTAGAGAGCAAGAGGAAGGGAGGGAGAGAGGAACATCGATTGGTTGCCTCATCTCCATGAGCTAGCTGTCAGATCAGACGAGTCTGCTGAGCTGTTTTGAAGCACCAGAATCTAGGAAAGGGGCATGGAAGGCAGGAATGCTACAGCGTCTCTCCTGTAGCCAGCAGTATCAGTTGGGATGGACGTAGTGGGCCTTCATGTGTGAGGTGGAGCACAGTGGGAGAAGAGCAGGGACGTTGGGGTCACTCGGCTGAGGTCACTTAGACTGAGGTGTCAGTGGTTTCAAATAGAAGGAGTGGGTCTCCTTCAGGTGCTCTCTGTAAGTGATGCTGAGAGGCTTGCCGTCGGTGGTAGGCCTGTTTAAGGACACTGTCATTGTGCTGGCTTCGCACAGTGTGAGTACCTTGCATGTGGTTTGTAGTGATGAGCCAGGAGCACCTCACAGGCATAGGCCAGAGATATTTGTCCATTTTCACAAGTGCAGAGCGCCCACTCTGCCTGTCCGCACTGCTCCACTGCAGAAAACAAGGTTTTGGACTTGCAGGCTGGGAACTTCATTGTGGAAGCCCGACATGAAGCTGTTGGTGGCCTCACTGACAGCCAGTGTCTCCTCCCACAGGACGAGCAATGGGAAGAGCACTGTGATCAACGCCATGCTCTGGGACAAAGTTCTGCCTTCTGGGATTGGCCACACCACCAATTGCTTCCTGCGGGTGGAGGGCACAGATGGCCACGAGGCCTTCCTCCTCACGGAGGGCTCAGAGGAGAAGAGGAGCATCAAGGTGAGGGTGCTGGGCAGGGACTGGGGAGGACCGCAGGGTCTCATGTGCTGGCCCACCTGTCAGCCCCAGGCATCCTGGCGGGGGAGTCTGGGCTTAGACCAACTACAAGACAGGACTGACAGCACCTCTGAGGAGAGGGCGGTGCCTCGGTGGTGCCCTGGTGGGGAGCCCTGTTCCCTAGCTGTTTAGAAGGAGAGCTGTTTCAGGGAGGGTCTGACACCTGGAGCACTAGGAATCAGAAGTCTGCAGTCCCTGCATATTGCCCAGCCCGCCATCTGACTTTTCTCTTGACCTGAAGAGGGGATGTTGCCAGAGAACAATTTCTGCATTTGCTCTGTGGTTCTGACATACCAGCCAGGGGCTTGTACATTTTAATTTTTCTGAGAGCCAGTTGCATTCTTGTTTGGGGCCAGATGCTCATTTTGGTTCTTAAACACTTAATATCAAACACCATCAGCTTTAGGACAGTGTCTGAGAAAGAAGCTTGAAAGAGGAGTGAAATATAGTTGGTCCTTATGGGAATGCCCAGCTCTTAACTTTTGATGTGTGAGTGAAAGGAAAGGGGTAGCAAATTGGGCAGAAGTCTCAGGCCACTGTGCTGTGCCAGGCAGCATAGGAAATTGGCTGGTGGCTGGTTGTCAGCTCTGAACGTCCCTTCCCTTCTCCCCATCAGACTGTGAACCAGCTGGCACATGCTCTCCACCAGGATGAGCAGCTGCATGCCGGCAGCATGGTGAGTGTGATGTGGCCCAACTCCAAATGCCCACTGCTGAAGGATGACCTTGTGCTGATGGACAGGTGAGAGGGAAGGTGCCTCCCTAGGAGGTTCAAATGAGAGGACTGGGTGTCCCATTTCTGGACCATCCAAGCCAGTGTCTCCTGGGCCCTGTTGTTGCTCTGCTTATGTATTACTTCCTTTCTAACTGGCTCCACCAAGTCCCCTGCCTCTTGGATTTCCTCCAGGGTCTGGTTACTGTACCCATTGGCATCAGTGCCCTGAAGATGTCCCAGTGATGGCCTGTGAGGAGGGATAGGAGGGGTGGCCAGAACCTCAAACCAGTGTTAATAGGTGTATGGGGGTGAGGTCCGTGCTATACTTTATTTCTGCTGAAGGAGCACTTTCCTTTTCTCCTGATTTGTGGACAGGTTGCAACTATACCAAGAAATACGGTACTATAGTGCTTATTGGACGCACATAAATATGACACTTCACCTTTTTTAAAAATTATTTTAGAGAGAGAGAGAAACATGGATTTGTTGTTCCGCTTATTGATGCATTCATTGGTTGATTCTTGTATGTGCCCTGACTAGCGATTGAACCCGCCACCTTGGCATAGCGGGATGCGTTAACCAACTGAGCTACCCAGCCAGGGCAACACTTCACCTTAATTGTTTATCTCCGAAGTGAAGTTATAAATCATTATGTTTTTGTAAAAGTGGTAGATGCATGTGGTAGAAAACACATTTTTGGACAATCTGGAATGTTATGAAAGGAAAAGTAAAAATCCCTCCAGTGAGGGATGACAGGCCCCATTTTTCTGCACTCTCTAGCCGTCTCCTTCCTTTGCTTGGCTGCCTCCGGTCTGTCAAAGCAGGAAGAACAGGGCCTGTGGTCTGTGAGCCTGATGTTGGTTTACCCCTGTCACCTCTAGCCCTGGCATCGATGTCACCACAGAGCTGGACAGCTGGATTGACAAGTTTTGCCTGGACGCTGATGTGTTTGTGCTGGTGGCCAACTCAGAGTCCACTCTGATGCAGACGGTAACCCCTCCTCTGCCTTTCCCATGCTCCCGGGGCCTTGGCTGGCTTGGCCCCTACTCTACTGAGGTCTTTCCCTCTTATCCAGGAAAAACAGTTCTTCCACAAGGTGAGCGAGCGCCTGTCCCGCCCCAACATCTTCATCCTGAACAACCGCTGGGATGCATCTGCCTCAGAGCCCGAGTACATGGAGGAGGTTGGTGCCTCTTATTTTTTATTTTTTCCAATGTGAGAGCGAAACATCGATGGGCTGCCTCCTGCAGGCCCCCTACTGGGGATTGAGCCCGCAGCCCAGGCACGTGCCATGACCGGGAATCTAACCGGCAACCTTTTTGTGCATGGGACAACACCCAGCTGAGCCACAGTGGGCAGGGTGGTTGGTGCCTCTTTATTCAGCATTTTGGGGACTGCCACCCCATGTGTGTACCCAGGGCCCCTTTGTGCATTCCCAGTCTGCATCAGGTCCATGACTTCCCTGAAGGAATTTCATCCCCAAAGATTTCCCAGGTGTTCCCTTTAGGTCACTGTGGGGGTCTTCTGCCAGCTTTAAAAACACTCTCTTCACCTCTCATTCACTTTCCCAGATCCTTCCACTCTTCAGAAGGTTTTCATCCAGGGCTGGAAAGCATCCCCGCCACATTAGCTGCCCCCTTGCCTGGGCCTGTGCTCACTTTGGTCCATAAGGGATTACTCACCATAGACCAGGCTTAGCTGCAGGAAGACACCCAAGAAGGAAGCTGGAAGAGGAGTGAAGAATAATTGGCTCATGTGTGAAATGAAAGGAAAGGGTCCCAGATTGGTGATAAGGGTGATAAAGTGACAGTGGGCACTGTGACTTTGGTAAATGCCTCGCTTGTGAGATGGATGTAATAGAGATACAGTGAGGATGACATCTCAACGTTGAGAAAGGCTCCTGGCACGTGGCAGGTGGCCACAAGAGGCTGTTAACGTGTGTAGGTTCTAGTAGAGCCCTAGACTTCGGAGCTAAGCGGGATTGTATGGTGGCCCCAACTCATTTCATAAACAAGGCCCCAGAGGACTCGGCTTGTCAGCACAGAGCCCAGGTGTAGGTTTCTCAGCTCTCAGCTCCTTTCATTTTGGGGAACAAAAGTGAGACACTGTGCAGACCCTTACAAGGGGCAGTTTGGGGCATGTGTTAGCGTTTCTGCTTATATATGTGTAAAGTATCTTTGGCAGGCCATACCTTAGGAAACTTCCATGACCATTTTGGTTCTGAGGAGCTTGGTGCTGGCTAGAGATTAGAAACGGTGGGAGATGGTTCGCTGTGGGTACCTTCTGAATACTGAACTATAGGAATATACTACCTATTTTTTTAGAAAAGAAGCAGTTAGTGGCTGTGGGCTCCCATCAGGAGGGGCCCGCCCGCCCG